AAATTCAAAGAAACCGTAGAAACCGCTAGTGGCATAGGTATCGGACCAAACTATGAAATCCTCTATAAAATCTATGAAATCCTGCTAAGCTAGCAATACATCATAATGCGCAATCAGGGCACATAAACATCACATAGATTTTTCCAGCACATTTGCGAATAGGATGGTAAAATTACCTGTACGGCATACTTCTCATTGGCGGATTCGTTCTCTTTCTTGCTTTTTGTGTAACCATTGATCTGTTGTTGTTCATCGTTGCGAATTGGCGCTGCTGCTGCTGCATCAACTTCAACCATCTCCTGAAATTTTACTTTCTACTTTTAGATAACAGAGAAAGAAAAACAGCGAACAGGCGTGAGAGATAAGCGTAAAAATAATCGTACGATCGCAATGCGTGCCTTTATACATGCGCAACAAATGAAAAAATATTCGGTGAAAATGTACAAGTATGAAGTTCTTAAAACTACAAATCGATCAACACAGAAGCCAAAATCACTCCAAATTCGTGCTTCGATACAAGTACTCACCGAAGAGAGTAGCACCACACCGCAAAAAAATTTTGAAAATTCAGTCACAGAATCATGGATTTCAAATTTGGAAACCAAAATATTGAATTTGAAAACTTGATCAACCCTAATTCAGCAAGTTTGCAAACCGAAATTCAAAAACTTAATTCAAAAAGCCAGACCCAAAAAATATAAGCTATCGGATTCAAAAAACCTAATTTTAATTTTAATCTAAACCAAAACTTCACCGAGGAGTCCAAAAATTCGTCACCAATCTTAAGTTCTAAATGAAATGCCGTAATTCCACCCTCCATCTAACCTCAGAATGCCTCAAAAACTTGAAATTAAGTTCCAATTCCAATTTAATTCTATGTTGTCCTTTAGAAACCCCGTGTCACTATGCCGGGCGTATAGGAACACCCCTCCGGCATCGTTAATTTAGGATTTTGGCAGCAACTACTGCCTCTCTGATCCTGACGTTCTCGGATTAAATCCCATAAAAATTTTCGAATTTTATTTCCCGTTTCAAGCACAATTTCTATCATGAATTTGATTATGAACAACGCGTAATCCCTCAAACAAAACAAACGTTTCTTTTAGTGGATAGACCAAATAACTTATAAAACCAAACAAAATAAATAGCTGGTTATTAAAAGAAGGGTCGGCAATCGGATCTCGAGAAACGGATGGACTGGAATAATCGAAGACCTC